AGAAAGTTTTAATAATAAACAGTGCTGCTAAATATCAGCCACGTATGAGTGTATTTGTTCTGTATATGTATTACTTTTAACTTATATTCGTACAATTATATATGAAGCGTCAAATTTGAATAAAGAGAACTAATATTAAAATTCCACGAGATTTCTGACGCAAGTTGTATTGAACAAAATGCGGTTATTCTATTGAAAGAGCACTCAATTGTTTGTTTCATCTTCCCCAGTGGCACAATCGGTTAGCGCGCCGTACTTATATGGCAGTACTGCTCTGTTACTGAGTAATGCGGAGGTTGTGAGTTCGAGCCTCACCTGGGGAATGAGTATGTTTTGAATCCACGAATTGGAGAATAATTGAATTTAAACACTTATGATCGCAAATTCCATTCGCGATCCAATCTCCAGCATTTAGTTTCATCTAATTTAAATGACATCGATAGCCATTTATATGGTCGCAAAATACGTCGAATTTGAGTTAAAAGACCTGCTTAACCCGACTCAATTAAAATGGATAAATGGCATCACAGCTGACGTATATATCTAACTATAATTGCATGCAATCTATGAAGTGCTGTTTTTTTTTACTTTATTTACCCAGTGTTTACCAAGCGTGCTAAAATCGTCAAGTGGTAATGCACTATTTAGGCAGAAGAATAAATGTCATTGACTTGCTCAAGACGGTTATATATTTCTACGATTTTGAGGGCGCTGTTTAGCAGACTGTTTGTTTGGGCGCTATCTTGTGATCGTTTACTGATTGGCAAATTGAAAATACGGATGATCTATGTTCATTTCAAGAATGATATTCAATAATTTTCACGTACATTACATTTCATTTATCCATTCTATAAAACAATAACCCAATACACTTTATATAGATTATGTAACAGGTGAGATATTTATGAAAGTGCGAAGCACATGATATTACGGATAACACAATAGGTGAATTTGTTCGATTATCGCCATTAAGTGCCGTATTTTAATTAGGGGTTAATGGCATTTGTTTCCCTGCTCTCTGATTGGGTTATTTTGAATAATATGCAGATTTCAAGGTGACTTATGGTCTACCTTGTTGATTCAAACCATTCTTAAATTCACAAGAAATACATCATTCGAGATGACGATGCACACTCCAAGAGGTAACTTAATGTATGCTGCAGATATTTACTCACGCACGCAGCATATGTATGCCAATCCACCGTATACCAGTATTTTCAACTCTCACAGTATATTGTCATGCATAGACCGACCGCCGTATAGCTTCGTAGCACTTATCGTCTTGGCTATAGTTCATACGCGAAACAGAGGGCTACATTGAAAGATATCTACCGCTATATAGAGACAACTTTTCCGTATTATCGTGTGACGAGCCCTGGCTGGAAGAATTCAATCCGTCATAACCTCTCTTTGAACAATTGCTTCATCAAGAGTCCTCGTAGTATACATGACCTGACTCACGGTCATTTCTGGAGACTAGCAGAGGGTTGGAAAGAAATGTTTGCTGAAAGCGACTTCCGCCGCCGTCGTCGAGGATATAAGAAATCCAATAACCACGAGTTTATAACAACTAACAGCCACGCGAACGAGGATTATATTGCGCGATATAAACCTGAAAGCACGCCGTCGTCCGTGGAGTCATGCAAGAAACAGACGCCAAATTACGTTTCCTCGATTACACATAGCGAGAGAACACAAGAAGGACATGTAAACGGAAAACAGTTTAGTGACTTTAGTATTGCCAAAATACTACGTTGTCAGTCGAAACGAAAAGCGGGCCACTGTGATGTATCGGACAATAAAAGGATTAAACGTGTTGGACGTATTGTTAGTAATGTCACAAAAGACACTGCGCGTGACATTCCTGGTCAATCTTTCAATGCAAGTAGTCAGATATCTTCAATTCGAGTCATTTTGTGTTACCAACCAGTTTCAAGAAAGTTTTAATAATAAACAGTGCTGCTAAATATCAGCCACGTATGAGTGTATTTGTTCTGTATATGTATTACGTTTAACTTATATTCGTACAATTATATATGAAGCGTCAAATTTAAATAAAGAGAACTAATATTAAAATTCCACGAGATTTCTGACGCAAGTTGTATTGAACAAAATGCGGTTATTCTATTGAAAGAGCACTCAATTGTTTGTTTCATCTTCCCCAGTGGCACAATCGGTTAGCGCGCCGTACTTATATGGCAGTGCTGCTCTGTTACTGAGTAATGCGGAGGTTGTGAGTTCGAGCCTCACCTGGGGAATGAGTATGTTTTGAATCCACGAATTGGAGAATAATTGAATTTAAACACTTATGATCGCAAATTCCATTCGCGATCCAATCTCCAGCATTTAGTTTCATCTAATTTAAATGACATCGATCGCCATTTATATGGTCGCAAAATACGTCGAATTTGAGTTAAAAGACCTGCTTAACCCGACTCAATTAAAATGGATAAATGGCATCACAGCTGACGTATATATCTAACTATAATTGCATGCAATCCTATGAAGTGCTGTATTTTTTTACTTTATTTACCCAGTGTTTACCAAGCCTGCTAAAATCGTCAAGTGGTAATGCACTATTTAGGCAGAAGAATAAATGTCATTGACTTGCTCAAGACGGTTATATAGTTTTACGATTTTGAGGGCGCTGTTTAGCAGACTGTTTGTTTGGGTGCTATCTTGTGATCGTTTACTGATTGGCAAATTGAAAATACGGATGATCTATGTTCATTTCAAGAATGATATTCAATAATTTTCACGTAGATTACATTTCATTTATCCATTCTATAAAACAATAACCCAATACACTTTATATAGATTATGTAACAGGTGAGATATTTATGAAAGTGCTAAGCACATGATATTACGGATAACACAATAGGTGAATTTGTTCGATTATCGCCATTAAGTGCTGTATTTTAATTAGGGGTTAATGGCATTTGTTTTCCTGCTCTCTGATTGGGTTATTTTGAATAATATGCAGATTTCAAGGTGACTTATGGTCTACCTTGTTGATTCAAACCATTCTTAAATTCACAAAAAATACATCATTCGAGATGACGATGCACACTCCAAGAGGTAACTTAATGTATGCTGCAGATGTATACTCACGCACGCAGCATATGTATGCCAATCCACCGTATACCAGTATTTTCAACTCTCACAGTACATTGTCATACATAGACTGACCGCCGTATAGCTTCGTAGCACTTATCGTCTTGGCTATAAGGTCATACGCGAAACAGAGGGCTACATTGAAAGATATCTACCGCTATATAGAGACAACTTTTCCGTATTATCGTGTGACGAGCCCTGGCTGGAAGAATTCAATCCGTCACAACCTCTCTTTGAACAATTGCTTCATCAAGAGTCCTCGTAGTATACATGACCTGACTCACGGTCATTTCTGGAGACTAGCAGAGGGTTGGAAAGAAATGTTTGCTGAAAGCGACTTCCGCCGCCGTTGTCGAGGATATAACAAATCCAATAACCACGAGTTTACAACAACTAACAGCCAAGCGAACGAGGAATATATTGCGCGATATAAACCTGAAAGCACGCCGTCGTCGGTGGAGTTATGCAAGAAACAGACGCCAAATTACGTTTCCTCGATTACACATAGCGAGAGAACACAAGAAGGACATGTAAACGGAAAACAGTTTAGTGACTTTAGTATTGCCAAAATACTACGTTGTCAGTCGAAACGAAAAGCCGGCCACTGTGATGTATTGGATAATAAAAGGATTAAACGTGTTGGACGTATTGTTAGTAATGTCACACAAGACAGTGCGCGTGACATTCCTGGCCAATCTTTCAATGCAAGTAGTCAGATATCTTCAATTCGAGTCATTTTGTATTACCCACCAGTTTCAAGAAAGTTTTAATAATAAACCGTGCTGCTAAATATCAGCTACGTATGAGTGTATTTGTTCTGTATATGTTTTACTTTTAACTTATATTCGTACAATTATATATAAACCGTAAAATTTAAATAAAGAGAACTAATATTAAAATTCCACGAGATTTCTGACGCAAGTTGTATTGAACAAAATGCGGTTATACTATTGAAAGTGCACTAAATTGTTTGATTCATCTTCCCCAGTGGCACAATCGGTTAGCGCGCCGTACTTATATGGCAGTACTGCTCTGTTACTTAGTAATGCGGAGGTTGTGAGTTCGAGCCTCACCTGGGGAATGAGTATGTTTTGAATCCACGAATTGGAGAATAATTGAATCGAAACATTTCCAAATCGCAAATTCCATTCGCGATCCAATCTCCAGCATTTAGTTTCATCTAATTTAAATGACATCGATCGCCATTTATATGGTCGCAAAAATTGCAAATACGTCGAATTTGAGTTAAACACCTGCTTAACCCGACTCAATTAAAATGGATAAATGGCATCACAGCTGACGTATAAATCTAACGATAATTGTTTGCAATCCTGTGAAGTGCTGTTTTTTACTTATTTATTTACCCAGTGGTTACAAAGCCTGCTAAAAACGTCCAGTGGTGATGCATTATTCAAGTAGAATAATAGATGTCATTGACCTGCTTAAGACGGTTATATAATTTTACGATTTTGAGGGCGCTGTTAAGCAGACTGTTTGTTGGAGCGCCATCTTGTGATCGTTTACTGATTGGCATATTGAAATCACGGATGATCTATGCTCATTTCATGAATGACATTCAATAATTTTCACGCACATTACATTTCATTTATGCATGCTATAAAACAATAACCCAATACACTTTATATAGATTATGTAACAGGTGAGGTATTTATGAAAGTGCGAAGCACATGTTATTACGGATATCACAATAGGTGAATTTGTTCGATTATCGCCAAAAAGTGCTGATTGTAATTAGGGGTTAATTGCATTTGATTTCCTGCTCTCTGATTGGGTTATTTTGAATAATATGCAGATTTCAAGGTGACTGAAGTTCTACCTTTTTGACTCAAACCATACTTAAATTCACAAAAAATACATCATTCGAGATGACGATGCACAATCCAAGAGGTAACGTAATGTATGCTGCAGATGTTTACTCACGCATACAGCATATGTATGCCAATCCACCGTATACCAGTAATTTCAACTCTCACAGTACATTGTCATGCGTAGACCGACCGCCGTATAGCTTCGTAGCACTTATCGTCTTGGCTATAAGGTCAAACGCGGAACAGAGGGCTACATTGAAAGATATCTACCGCTATATAGAGACAACTTTTCCGTATTATCGGGTGAAGAGCCCTGGCTGGAAGAATTCAATCCGTCAAAACCTCTCTGTAAACAATTGCTTCATCAAGAGTCCTCGTAGTATACATGACCTGACGCACGGTCATTTCTGGAGACTAGCAGAGGGTTGGAAAGAAATGTTTTCTGAAAACGACTTCCGCCGCCGTCGTCGAGGATATAAGAAATCCAATAACCACGAGTTTATAACAACGAACAACCAAGCGAACGAGGATTATATTACCCGATATAAACCTGAAAGCCCGTCGTCGTCGGTGGAGTCATGCAAGAAACATACGCCAAATTACGTTTCCTCGATTACACGTAGCGAGAGAACACAAGAAAGACATGTAAACGGAAAACAGTTCAGTGACTTTAGTATTGCCAAAATACAATGCTGTCAGTCGAAACGAAAAGCCGGCCTCTGTGATGTATCGGACAATAAAATGATTAAACATGTTGGACGTATTGTTCGTAATGACACAAAAGACACTGGGCGTGACATTCCTGGCCAATCTTTCAATGCAAGTAGTCAAATTTCTTCAAGTCGAGTCATTTTGTATTATCCACCAGTTTCAAGAAAGCTTTAATAATAAGCCGTGCTGCTAAATATCAGCTACGTATGAGCGTATTTGTTTTGTATATGTATTACTTTTAACTTATATTCGTACAATTATATATGAACCGTCAAATTTAAAATAAAGAGAACTAATATTAAAATTCCCCGACATTTCTGACGCAAGTTGTATTAAACAAAATGCGGTTATCCTATTGAAAGTGCACTCAATTGGTTGTTTCATCTTCCCCAGTGGCACAATCGGTTAGAGCGCCCTACGTATATGGCAGTACTGCTCTGTTACTGAGTAATGCGTAATGCGAAGTTTGTGAGTTCGAGCCTCACCTGTGGAATGAGTATGTTTTGGGTCCACGAATTGGAGAATAATTGAATCGAAACATTTCCAAATCGCAAATTCCATTCGCAATCCAATCTCCAGCATTTATTTCATCTAATTTAAATGACATCGATCGCCATTTTTAGTGGTCACAAAATTGCAAATACGTCGAATTTGAGTTAGACACCTGATTAACCCGATTCAATTAAAATGGATATTTATTCTGTATATGTATTACTTTTAACTTATATTCGAGCAATTATATATGAACCGTCAAATTCAAAATAAAGAGAACTAATATTAAAATTCCACGATATTTCTGACGCAAGTTGTATTGAACAAAATGCGGTTATCCTATTGAAAGTGTACTCAATTGGTTGTTTCATCTTCCCCGTGGCACAATCGGTTAGCGCGCCGTACTTATATGGCAGTACTGCTCTGTTACTGAGTAATGCGGAGATTGTGAGTTCGAGCCTCACCTGTGGAATGAGTATGTTTTGGATCCACGAATTGGAGAATAATTGAATCGAAACATTTCCCAATCGCAAATTCCATTCGCAATCCAATCTCTAGCATTTATTTCATCTAATTTAAATGACATCGATCGCCATTTTTATGGTCACAAAATTGCAAATACGTCGAATTTGAGTTAAACACCTGATTAACCAAGATTCAATGGATAAATGGCATCACAGCTGACGTATAAATCTAACGATAATTGCTTGCAATCCTGTGAAGTGCTGTTTTTTTACTTATTTATTTACCCAATGTTTACAAAGCCTGCTAAAAACGTCCAGTGGTGATGCATTATTCAGGTAGAATAATAGATGTCATTGACTTGCTTAAGAGGGTTATATAATTCTACGATTTTGAGGGCGCTGTTAAGCAGACTGTTTGTTGGAGCGCCATCTTGTGATCGTTTAATGATTGCCATATTGAAATCACGAATGATCTATGCTCATTTCATGAATGACATTCAATAATTTTCACGTACATTACATTTCATTTATGCATGCTATAAAACAATAACCCAATACACTTTATATAGATTATGTAACAGATGAGATATTTATGAAAGTGCGAAGCACATGTTATTACGTATATCACAATAGGTGAATTTGTTCGATTATCGCCAATAAGTGCTGATTGTAATTAGGGGTTAATGGCATTTGATTTCCTGCTCTCTGATTGGGTTATTTTGAATAATATGCAGATTTCAAGGTGACTTAAGTTCTACCTTGTTTACTCAAACCATTCATAAATTCACAAAAAATACATCATTCGAGATGACGATGCACAATCCAAGAGGTAACTTGATGTATGCTGCAGATGTTTACTCACGCATACAGCATATGTATGCCAATCCACCGTATACCAGTAATTTCAACTCTCACAGTACATTGTCATGCATAGACCGACCGCCGTATAGCTTCGTAGCACTTATCGTCTTGGCTATAAGGTCAAACGCGGAACAGATGGCTACATTGAAAGATATCTACCGCTTTATAGAGACAACTTTTCCGTATTATCGTATGACGAGCCCTGGCTGGATGAATTCAATCCGTCATAACCTCTCTTTGAACAATTGCTTCATCAAGAGTCCTCGTAGTATACATGACCTGACTCACGGTCATTTCTGGTGACTAGCAGAGGTTTGGAAAGAAATGTTTTCTGAAAGCGACTTCCGTCGCCGTCGTCGAGGATATAAGAAATCCAATAACCACGAGTTTATAACAACGAACAGCCAAGCGAACGAGGATTATATTGCCCGATATAAACCTGCAAGCACGTCGTCGTCGGTGGAGTCATGCAAGAAACAGACGCCAAATTACGTTTCCTCGATTACACGTAGCGAGAGAACACAAGAAAGTCATGTAAACGGAAAACAGTTTAGTGACTTTAGTATTGCCAAAATACTATGTTGTCAGTCGAAACGAAAAGCCAGCCACTGTGATGTATCGGACAATAAAAGGATTAAACATGATGGACGTATTGTTCGTAATGACACAAAAGACACTGCGCGTGACATTCCTGGCCAATCTTTCAATGCAAGTAGTCAGATATCTTCAATTCGAGTCATTTTGTATTACCCACCAGTTTCAAGAAAGTTTTAATAATAAACCGTGCTGCTAAATATCAGCTACGTATGAGTGTATTTGTTCTGTATATGTATTACTTTAAACTTATATTCGTACAATTATATATGAACCGTCAAATTTAAAATAAAGAGAACTAATATTAAAATTCCACGACATTTCTGACGCAAGTTGTATTAAACAAAATGCGGTTATCCTATTGAAAGTGCACTCGATTGGTTGTTTCATCTTCCCCAGTGGCACAATCGGTTAGCGCGCCGTACTTATATGGCAGTACTGCTCGGTTACTGAGCAATGCGGAGGTTGTGAGTTCAAGCCTCACCTGGGGAATGAGTATGTTTTAAATCGCAGTAATAACCAATTTAAAGTGAAGTTTCCATTCATGAAATGCCTGCTTGGCGTGTTGGAGCTATATAATGTAGCGGCACTCGATAACTTGCTGGTATGACTAGCAGGAAGGAATCACTATAATGTCCTTGAAGTCATTTGTGACTGGATGAAATTGTTGGCACGCACGTGGGGTACAGAGGTCTTGTGATGAAGGGGTAATTGGGTAAATTTCTTGGCTTCGATATCGTTTCATGCTTCTGACTAGTTCTTCGCTGCGGACTGTTTTCTTCGGTGAGCAGCCTAATATATTTGATATGCTGAAGTCTTTGCAGGTCTTTCTCGTTTC